TATAAACGTAATGCTTGTTATATACCATAGATATATTAACCAATAATAATTGTGGCAAACACGCGTGCTTTTCGGGAACGAATTTATTTATTTCTAACCACAAAGATATCGGTCTTATTTCAGTTTTCTCAAACCCGCGCGTTACATATATATCACAGGATTCGACAGAAATAACACGTAATTATTTGCATGTTCATTACTTATTATAAATAGATTTCCATTACACACACACACACACACATTGTTCCATATCATACATCTTACATTTGCATTTCTACTCCTAATAGAGAGAACCTAGACTGAAATCATAAATATTGGTTCAAAATAAACAAAATTGAATTTCGTACCAATTTAAACCCTTTGTAACGCCTCCGTCGCATATCCAATTACTTCATCCGCGAGTCGTCGTCGGGGCGCCTGCAAGGCGGTTAGTCCCATAAACCCCGCGGGGGTGGGGGGGTGGGGTCGTAAACCCAGCCCCGCCCCGCCCCGCCCTCATTCGCATTCCCCGCGCACATGAACCCCGCCCCCGCGGGCATGGGGCTAAGGAGCAGGAAGGCGGTCGAAAGTGGCTGCGCGCGCCGGGGCAGGAGGGGGGGGGCGGAGATGGGACGTGCTTAATGACGATGACGGGGATTTAGGGATCGGTTTATGGGGAGGTGGCTGTCGTAGAATGGTGGGATCGGGTCGGTGAGGATGAGTGTTGGAGAGAGTGAGTATTGATTCCGGGGGCGTCAGCTATTAAGTTTAGTCCTGCAGCGTGTTCTTTTTATTCTGAGAGGTGGCAGTGTTCCTCTCCTGCTGGCGCGCGATGCGTAAGATGTGAAAATCGGCGTTTAACGACCTACGAACGGTTAGCGTATCGGACTGTTACACCCAAGTTGGCGGGATCAAATTATTATTATCATTGTAATTTATCATTTTTAAGGACAAAGAATCCTTCGTACGCTTTTCTTCGGAGGGGAAGTAAAACCGGCTGTGCCATGTGAGTAGATTTACTTGCATGTAAAAGATCTTTAAGCCTAAATGACGCCTCTGAGCTAAATTCAAATCGCCTGTTTCTTCGCCCAAGAAATATCCCTTTTCTCCGCTAGTGGGTGAAAGGAGCGTAGCAAAATTTGCGTAGTCAGACGGAAGAGCGGGCCTGATAGCCCGAGTCTCGCCACGTAATATATGGAATCAATTCAATGCAATGTACCTGTAGGCTTGTGGGTTTTCCCCTTTCATGTATCTTCCCTGTCGAGGTACTTCTCAGTTAGGAGGTCTGAGCTGGCAACTGGTTTCCCGACAAGTGTGGTAGTGTTTGAAGCCTCCCTGACTTAATTCATCCTACTTTGACGACTGTCTGATGTCGCTTATTGCGTGTTTGGTTTCGGCGTGAAATGGGAATTCATTGATATCTTTCATATTTTATCAAGTTCGGTAATATTTGTACAAGCAAATACCTACACCAGTGCAATTTTCATCGAATATTTCAACTTACAACCGACAAATTAAAAAATATTCAAATAGATAGGCATTCTACCAGTGTCTTGTCCTCGACATATTGTCATGACCTATTGTCTCAGAGACCTAGAGTCACACTGTAAACAAAATGAAAAGAAGCAATGAACTTCTTGCCCTCGTGTGAATTTCTAATAATGGATTATCATTTGTCTTTAGGAATCCTCGACCACTGGTGCTAAAGTTGTGAACGAAAATAATGGCGAAAGTGTGATTGTCTGGTGATGTGGAATGAAACATCGCGAGTATAGAAAGCGCTCTAGGAGAAATAGTGGCTGAAATGACAATAAATAGTGTAGAAAATAGGTGAGTGTCAGTGGAATGACGTGAGAGCTAAGTGGACATATTTAACTGTCAAAGAGAGAACAACAGTAAGTTGTAGAGGAGAAAACGTGTCAATAAAAGTGTCACGTGATAAAAAGACAAAACTGTTTTGAACCATTGACCACAAAAGTAGAAGTACTCAAATATTGAAAGCAGACAACAACGGCCACATAAAGAAAAATAAAACGCATCGCTTATGCGCGTAGTGACATCGGAAAAGAAATCAAGAAACCTGGAACACAACGTTGCAAATATTATCCGCACACCTTTTTGTGGGCAATCATTTTGATAGATGCAATAGGAGTGGGAGGTTTGGTAATTTCCACGACAAATCTGTAGCTCGTTTTTCGGTACAAAATATTTTCTGTTAAACAGAAACAAACATTGCGGGTTATTATATTTTCCCATGATAACTCATTACTATAATTTATTCTTAATTCAACTAATGTTAGTAAAGGAGTTGGGTAGGTATTCCAGGGGACAAGAAAACGTGTAATACCATCAGAGGTGAATTTAAGGAGTAGTTAGGAAAGGGTGTGAAGGCGGTGGGCGTGTCGCCGGGAGACGCGGGCGGGGGGCCGCGGGGGTGGCGGAGGCAGATTTCCTCCTGTTGCGAAGTTCCGCCGTCGCCTTCGGGGCGCGCAGCCGTCGCCTGTGAGGAGTTGCGGAACTGGTCTTGCCCTCCCGCAATTTGGATAACAGGTCGGCCGACCCGATCGGGGGCGGCCTCCCCCCTCACGCGCAGTCGACGTCTTGCGCAGACGTGTTCACGCGCGCAGCGCGCCCCGACTTCGCCTTCGATTACACTCCGCTGCGATTGCCTTTGCGGAAGTCGTCGTGCCCCTGTCTACCGCTCTGGTCTGGGTGAGATCATTTTGAGCATTTCCTCGGTTCCTTATTTTCCTCCATTTTCATTTTCCCAATATATTTTGCATTTATGAAGTAGAATTTGTTAGAATTGAATAGAAATTGAATTGACTTGAAGCCTTATTTTACGTGGCAAGACTCGGGCCATCAGGCCTGCTCTTCCGTCTGACCTCGCAAATTTCGCTACGCTCCTTTCACCAACTAGGAGAGAAAGGAGATATTTCTTGGGCGAGAAACAGGCGATTTTGAATTTAGCTCAGATGCGTCATTTAGGCTTGAGGATCTTTTACATGCAAATAAATCTACTTACATGGGACAGCCGGCTTTACTTCCTCTCCGAAGGAAGACGTACGAAGGATTTTTTCGCCCTTAAAAATCTATTGCGTTGATCGACACCCGCCAATTTGGGTATAACAATCCGATACGCTAACCGTTACACCACCGCCGCTGTTAGAGAGACATGCTTACACGGACTGCGTTGCGTGCAGGACGTATTGCCTTCGTCGTTGTTTTCTCTCCGGCTTTGGAGTTCTTGCAGGAGTTGTTGAAGAATTAGCTCTGTCTTCCACGTGCGACTGTGAGAGATAATTTGAGATTTTCTTCCCATTTCTCATTTTCTCCATGTTAGATAATTCCCCCCTGTAAATGCAGTATAACTGTTTGCAGATATGTTGGCACGCCGTGTGTTGTGCACAGTACGTTCTGTTAGCACCAAAATTCCGCTCCGTCGTGATTGCTGTTTCAGATGTAGTAAGTAGTATCTCGCCTATTTGACTCAATGAGATATTTTGAGTCCTTCCCCTGTTTGCCATATTTTTATATATCACTTGTATGTTACCATAAAAGCCCTTCTACGAGACCATATGAGATGACTTAAGTCCGAATGCATTATTAATCATTATTAATTAATTAATTTTACATACCTTCACATTCTGCACATTACAGTAATATTCCCATTGTAGAATCACGACCACTGATGAATAATAAAATAAAATTGATTTACGGAAATGGTCATTGTAAGTAAAGACGCAATTAGTTGTGCCAACGTTTCGAAATATTTCATTTCTTCATCAGGACTAGAGTATAAAACAAATGAACAGAACATGGGGACAATAAACATTTCAATAAATTGACTCATTAATTAATTAACACTACACAAAACAACAAAAGACGTTTATAAAACGAAGTGTATTTATCTTTCTTTCCGTCGTTGATTATCTCGCTATCTGCCTTTTCCAATTCCCCTCTGTTTCTTATTTCTTTTGCTGTTCTGGGTTATAGGAGCTTTTGGAATTGGTGACGTTCGTGTCTCACGTCCTGCCTTCCTGAGTTCCGCCGCTTGCCCCCCCCCCCCCCCCCCCCCGCCCGTCGGGAGCCCCGCGAAGGTTTTTCAGCGTCCTTCGCTGTCAAAGTTTCGCAATGTGATTTGCTGCGCCTTGCCGACGGCTGTCCCCCCCCCCCCCAGCGCCTCCTGCGGGAGTTCGCGAACCCTTCTCATTCTGCCACCCCCGCTCCGGCCTTCGCCCCCTCCCCTCCTCCCGTTTCCGCCTCCCGCTCCCGCTCCGAACATCCCCGCCTAATCGCCAGCGAGTGCCACGTCCAATTTGCATGGAGGGACCGTCGTAATCTCTTAGATTGACTGAGGGCGAGAAATGCTCCTCTACATTCCGGTGCGGAGCGAATGATTGGGAAGTCGGACGAGATACCTTTCCGTATTCTGCTTCTCAATAGTTCTGCATTCTAGAAAACTGTTATTTAAGTATTCACGGTGTGTTCCAAGTTAAATATTTTCAAGTTTCATAATGCTATGGCTGTTGGTGTTTATGAGAAAATAATTGATTTATCAACTGACGAGGCTTCACATTATTATGGAGGCGGATGTTTTTGGGCAACAATAATTTCATGCTTTTTAGACGGCCTAACCATTAGTAATTCAACAACGGTTGATAACTGTCACATTTTTTGTTATTCTCATCCTAACTTTCTTCTTCAATGTCATAGAAATGCTCTCTCAAAATTAAGATAAGATATTCATCTCTAGCAATCGAACATACGACAAGTTTTCGAATAGTAGATAATTGTATACTTCAGAAGAGGGGTCGTATCCAATGAATGCAATCTGAAAGGCAAACTCCTTTAATTTTCTGGAGTTCTCTCAATGTTCAAAGATAAAAGGACTTTTACCACCTTATTGCTACTATTACTTTGATCGAAGAGTGTCAAGATTGAATATTTTGAATACCCTAAAATAGTTGGAGTTGCCCCATTACAAGTTCTTAATTGCTTTGAATATTTAATGGACACTAATGGACATTCCAAAGATCAGTAAGTGCTTTATGCATACTTATGCTTAAAGATCTTATGAACTGATTTTCAACACTAGAATCTATGACATTTTGCTGCGGAAAGTTTGTCCTTTACATGACAATTTCTGATTTTCACAAATGTCTTTCCCCTCAATATAAAATATATCACCACCACTACATAACCTGTTTATTGACTCTTTCAAGTCATTACTTCTAAGTCAAATTTTTTTGTCAGTAGATATTAAGTCTACCCATGTTACGGGAATTTTGCAGTTGACGGAGTTGGAGGAGACTGTAACAAGTGTACGTATTAGCCCTGTAAAGAGAACATGGCGATCAGCACTCCATATTTGCGTCTAAATATAAAGCGTGTTCTTTACAGCACTCTCGTTGAGAAAGTTAATCACTCTAGCAGCTATCCCCATCAGACCTTCGTTGTTCGAAATCAGCATTGTTTCCTTCGGCTCAATGTACTTCCTCTGAGTCTTTTTGCGCGGGAACGCGCGTTGTCAGTATCATCCGCTTGTGTCCTGTCCAATTCCCAATGCGAATATATTTATTTCCTTGTATTTAAATTTTTCATCTCTCCGGAAAATGAAAATTATTTATATTGCTGTATGCTGTGTCATCTTACTTCCTTGCATGTCAAAATATGGTTATAAAATCATGATGTTTAACTGGTAATATCATAAAACCAACTAGTGTGACTGGTACCGAAATGCAGGAACATTTTGTGCCTTAAATCTAAGAGGTTTCGACGATTTCTAGATGGTTGATATCGTGTTCATCAAATGTAAAAACAGCCAGCTCCGAAAACGCTCTGGGAGAAATCCTGAGACTTTGAAATAATGGGCGACGTGGACTTTCTCCACTTATACGTTAGCAGCCAAATGATAAATTCCCTCCTGCATAAAATAATTCGGTTCCATGTTGATTTCTATGTGACAGCCCAAGAAGAAATTATCAAAATACGAAATTGTCAGTGGACAAGATGCCATTTTACTGCAAACGCGTATCACAAGTAATTAGTAACTTTAGGTATCAACCCAGAAAAAAATATGGTACGTGTGAAAATTTGTGTATATTTTTACTCATTCAATGTAACTATGTTTTATTTCACACGCCTTACGTGTTTATATTATTACATTGTAGATAAATTTCTTTTAACTATTTATTACTTAAAATTGACAATTACAAAGAGCAATACTCTTCTTGAACCGGGGGCCCGAATCGGACTAGTAGCCTTAAAAGAAAGAAGTCTCATCGCAAGTAATACCATACCGGAAATAATGTGACGTCGCTGATGCTGTGAACGGTTTTAAAAATAGTTTGTGTTGAAAATTTCTTTCATACTGCATTTCTTTCATGCCTAGCGTTCATTAAATATGTTTTTTCAGTATGTAGCATTGGACTTAGCTATGAATCGAAGTTACACTCCCGTTCAAAAGTTCCCAACACCCAATGGCCTTTTGTGTTATCTTCATACGGAATACGAGTTGGTTTATTATAATTTCAAAATTATGACCGTCTTAACTAATATTTGCAGTTTTTTGATAAATAAATAGAGATATTGTCAGGTATCAATATTGTAATTCAACTAATGATCATTTCGATCGCGTAGCGATCATCCTCAGAGCTAAAAACAATACAAATATACAATGTGAAATATTAACAGGTTGGTTATTGTATACAATATGCGTAAGCAAACTGAATCGTACATACCTTGTATATTTGTATTGTTTTTAGCTCTGAAGATGATCACTACGCGATCGAAATGATCATTAGTTGAATTACAATATTGATACCTGACAATATCTCTATTTATTTATCAAAATAAAGAAAAGGTATCTACTTCACCAACAATCCAATTAATAATATTTTCAGGTTTTGATACTAAGTGAAGTTTTAGTAGAGCGTTTTACTCGGTTTTGGTTATATGCACAAAACGCACATAGCACATTTGCATTAAAACAAATGTTAAATACAAAAATACAGATTATTACAAATTAGATCCGAAAATGTTATCGCATCATCTTTTACAACTGCATTTGATTCTTCCCCGTACTTTTTAAAACTTCCATATTTTTCTCCCCTAATTTTTAAAGAGGTTAAAACTTCACATACTCAGTCTAATTAGTGTTTACTTGTACTTCTGTAATTGCTCTATTAATCGTTTTGTCTGTGAATCTAGCGTTTCATGTGAATCTAATATTAAAAGGTGTCTGTTTTGTATGTTTATGTAAATAAGGTACTAGTTAATTTGAATATTAATAAGTTGTGGGTTACATTCATTTGAAAACTTTCATAAGAACGTAAAAGTGCGAAGTCGAACATAACGTTCATTCATTTTCTAGCATTACTCACTGTTTTGTTTTCTCCATATTCAGTTGTAATTTTTCAAGTACAATAACTTCCAAGGCAATACTTTGAAAATTCGTTGGCATTCGCAAATTTATTTTTAAAGGTGCAATAATAATTCGAATATAAATAGAAATCAAACTGCAGCGCAATTTTCTTGTTAATTCAGTTGTTGACTTACGGATGTCAACGTCGAGAAAGAAAATTATTGTGTAATTAGCTAAAGATGCTTTTGGGCCAACGTCACTTACATAGATCGATTTAGAAGGCGTTGGCATTCCTGGCATTATCACGAAGATCGTAGCACCAAAACACGAAAAAACGTTTTTAGAAATATCTTTAAATATTCTAGGGGGATCCGAAAACAAACTATCAAGAGATCGTGTCGCGTCAAATGACAAAACATACTGGTGTACGGGAAGTAGCCTAGATTAATAATAATAATAATAATAATAATAATAATAATAATAATAAATAATAATAATAATAAATGTCTTTTAGTGGCAATGCTCTAGGCGTAGGGCTACAATATTATTTAAATGTAGAGTGAAAACGTTATGTCTGTAACCTATATGTGTGCGAAAGGGTTATCAGATAACATTGGTATCTCATGTCAATCGCATATCGTCCTCGTTCTGTTTTCTGCTGAGCACAGGGTGACGGGGCCGTTGGCGCTTGTTGCAGGTGTCGGCCGGCGGGCGCCCCATGGCCCTGGCGCTGAGCCCGCGCGCCCCCACTCGAGTGCCGGCCTGCTCGCCCCGCCCGTGACGCGCGCCGCCCCGCCCCCGCCCGCCCCCAGCCCCAGCCCCCGTCCCCACGCCGGCACTCGCAGCCACCGCCGCCACCAGCCGCCTCCGCGGGCAGACAGCGCGCCGCCCCCTCGCGGCCACCGCCTCCGCCACCTCCGTCACCACAGCCGCCCGGCAGCGGCCCCTGCAGCAGCCATGCGAGCCCTGTGCAGCAGGCGGGCCCTCCTGGCGCTATGGGTGAGTACCTTGTTCGCTGTACTTCGTTCCAAACGTCTTTGTGCTCCACGGTTGAGAGTCACGTGGTAACGCCGACTGGGGCTTCCTAGTGACTCGCAATAACAGCACCTTTTTCTCAATGTCATAATCTTCTCTCATTGCCATCAACTCGGAATGAGCTGAGTGCTTCTGCCACGCTTTCATGATGCCCAACATTAAAATATCACATTATTTAATGTATTAAAAGCATCCAGGCAGTATAGGCATTGTACTAAATACATATCGAAATAATAGTACTGAAATCTAGTATTTGCAAGGAAGATCCTGTAGCACGCACGTGGCACATAACAAGTTGTGTGCGGCAACGCTGTCTGCCGCGCCCAACCGTCGAGCACAAGGCCGGTACAACAGGTAGTCTCTTTTCAGGCTGCAGGTGATCCTGGCGTACCTAATGATTTGTGTTCTTGGGTTGAAACAAGAGTCTCTTTGACGTATTGCACAGCACTTGTATAGACTGAAGTGCCGAGTGAGCTCGTAATCGGATGGAGTCATGAAAGATGTTCGTGTTATCGAAATGTGCTACGTTTGAAATACTCTCATACTAGACATAATGTAGCTGATCATGGAAACCATCCTCTAGTGTACTACTTCGTGAAAGACTTATTACCTGTGGATGAGGATTTGAGGCCACTAAGACAGTGCCCTTCTCTTCTCACCCAGGGGCACAAGTACACTCAACGTGACCGATGCCTCCCCCATAGCCTGTGTGGGACCGCCCCACCAGGCCGATGCTACTCACTGGATAAGAACAGACAATAACATTTTATATTCTTCATGTCTTCCGGGCTTATGGGCCGTGGTCCAATTGGCTCTGGGATGCCAATTGGACCACGGCTCATAAGCCCGGAAGACATGAAGAATATTGACTCCGGCCGTGAAAGCCTACAATGCTGTAATAACATTTTAGTTCTCACGCGCCTTCTAGTAATCTCCCACAATGAAACGGAACGAACTTTAGTTCAAACTAAATATGTCTACTCAACGTTATTTGTATTGAAAATGGTAATTATTGACGGATGTTGATAGAACAATAACTTTTTCTTTCATTTCAAAGTCGGGTAATTTTTTTCAAAGGAGTCAGAAGTATTATTTTCAAAGTCCTGTTTAATGCAATGCGTACTCAACATTAGTGTTGATTCACAATGTTTCTGCTTATGATAAAAATGAAAGTTCACTGATTTTTCGTTGTCATTAAACGATTGAGAGAGAGACAAACTTACGAAAAGTTGAGTGCTTTCGCTTGATACTCGTCTTGATACTTAAGTGGTTTTTCGGCTCGCCCCTGAATCACTGACATCATGGTGTTGCAAATGAGCGTACAGTATTTTTAAAAGGGAGAAGTGTTGTTGATATATAGTTTTATTCACTCAAACTTTTTAAAAATATTTTTTGTGTGATTACCCTCTTTATCACATATTTAGCATTTCTACGAGAAAGATTTTGTGAATGCCGTTAAGCGACAAAAATGGTACTCGTCTTCGACCTTGACAGTTCGTGTGACCTCGCGACGAAGTGGACGTTCTTCTGGTAGCATCGATCAGCGCCGGCCGGGCGCTAGAACAGCTCGCCTTCCAGTAGTCTCCCGCCTGGCGGCCGGTGGATCGATGGGCTCCGTGCGTAAGCACACAAGCCGATCGGCGGGCGATTGTTCAGCGAACGCATCTGCGTCCATTGCATCGTTTCCTAGAATCCGACGCACTCGCTCGTTTGCATACTGTCCCCGCCCCGCCCCGCCCTCGGACAGCTGCACAGCCCTGTCATCAGGTTGCTCGTAAACTCGCCTCATTCTCCTCTGTTTGAGTGCTTTAGGCAAATATGGCGCGCGTCTGTTCGTTTCGTAGCTGCAGTGACACATGTGCGCTTTTATTTACCTTTTCGTTCCGGACTTCATGCGAGACAAAATTGTTTCTCTGTCGTTTTGCAAACATCAAGTAAAAAATATATTTCTCGTAAATTTCTACTATACAGTGGATATTTAAAAAATATTATAATTTTACTCTTGTGGCACTAAATATTTTTAATATTACTTTTCAACTTGTCTCTTTAACTTGCCCAATCTTTATTTTCAAATAAAATAACAATATTATATGAGTGCAGTTTATTCCATCTTTTATATTCATTTTAAGACAGTGTAACAATAGATCAAATTAATCAACACATTCGTTGAATGTGGATGGAAATAATCATATCAGTGTGAAAGGATACGTTTTTCATATAGTATAGTAAACAAATACCAACATTTCCATGGTTCCGATTCGTATGAACTTTCATTTGAGTAACGTATTTAAGCGTTACAAATAGACAATGCTTTGCGTCGCTCTGAGAATCGGAACGGAGAGTTCCTATTTCGAATCCTGGATATTCCTTTGCATCAGCAACGAATGAGACCTAGCAATTTAAGCGCGTTACATTTGCGATTCACTGACGCTAGAGTCACTTGCATTACACACGTAGTTCTATTCAAACATTGTGTTGCACTGCCGAAATAACGAACTTGAAAGAAGACGTGCAAAAAAATCTTTTGATTCTACATTCAACTGAAGAAAATCAACCCCATTATTCATATTTAGGTATTTTTGTAAACTGAATAATCTTAAAGTAGACTGCTAGTTGTAAATAAATGTATTTCTATTCATAATAAATGAATACTAGTAGAATTGTTTGTAAAAAATTGAACTTTTACAGGTTATTAATTTCTCTTTTACGACTATAATTACAATATTTTGTGATCGCAAAACATGAAGTTGGTAACGAAACAAATGATATCTTACATAATTTTTACTCCGCTATTAAAACGAGGTGCTGGACTACTATTGATACATTTTAGTAGTATTTAAAACGATACTTTAATCAAGTAAAAATTTTAATAAATAATTTATTCTAAAATTTCCTACAACCCTCGAAGTTACTTTATGTCGTGAATTTTGCATGTTTTACACGCTTCTTTTGTTGCTATTATCCAGGACTAAGCGTTTAAGATAGTTTCCACAACAGTGTTCACTTCGTTCATTGTATTTAAAATTTGTTATATTAGGTTATCATTTTTCCTGTTAGATAATCAAATTTTAAAAGACCGTGAAAATACATTAAACTCAGATGTTTATTAAATACGTTGAAGAAGGTTGCAGTTAAGTTATTTCAATATGTTGCCCAACGTTTCTTGAATTTATCTTTTCAGGTTTCATAGAAAGTTTTTAGGGTACAAAACTAAAAAATATTTTTAAAAAACACGACAATTGTCAGTCAAATAATGATCAATGTAATATAAAGAATGGAAGTAATATAAAGCCTCTTATTGGTGATAATAAACACCGTTAAAAAACCCACAATGATCATCGCGTCTTGAGGACGTGAATCAGCAGCAACCACCAGCTGATGGTAAAAAATGAAGCTTTAACAGCAACCTCCTTGAACTTATTTAATCAAATTCCCGTGTTCAGTTTTTGTAATAGTCTCATTAAGCTTGATTGTTTAAAAACGAGAAAATGGTTGTCTAGGTTAACAAAACTATTTTTATATTAAATTTGTTCTAATATTTTTCTTATTTATTGTTACGAAATATATTACAATTGTATTTTTAATTACTGTTCTATTGATTTATCCTTATAAAGTTTACAATTTTAATGTGTAATATCCTTTTAATGGGAATTTTCTATTAGAACTGTAACTGGAATTTAATAACACAAACACTTTTGTCAACGCTTAGGGACAATATATTCCCACATGATGCTAAATGGAATGAAATATTGATACAATGTATTTTATGGTTTTGTTAGGGAATTAGAATTAACTGCACCTTAGTATGTCTTCGTCGTTCGTCCCGGAGAACATTGATGCAAAGCGAGGTCACAGTGCGGGGAGGGTTGACCTTCGAGTGGGTCAACTGTACCAACGTTGATTGATCGATGATTCCTGGTGCGTCAACTGCTAGAGTCATTAGTCCCGTAACTGTAGCACGTGTGTTTTACTTGGGGAGTGTCAGTGACCATCCTCCGCTAGATAATGAAATTCGTCGCTCACACGCCGGTTAGTGAGATATTCATCAATCAGGTATCTCCCGTCTGCGGGACACCACCTCAGCTGGAACAAGCTCTGAGCTCCTGTCTGGTCTCCCGGAAGGCGTGGTGTCGTAGTGCATGTCAGTGTAAGTGTATGTGTGTGTGTGTGTGTAGATAAAGAAAGAGGATAGGAGAAGGAAAGATCGCGCGCGTTCCGTGGCCCTTTTGTCAGAGTACTACTCCAGCATTTCTCTGGAATGGATCAGAAAAACCACATAAAACTACACATTAGAGCAGTCAGCCGCTAGAATTCTTCTCAAGCCAGCGGCTGAATTGACCTACCTCAGAAGGTAGTGTCTAAAAACCTGCCGCCGTCGGAATGGAACCCTAGGACTTGCCGGTCATAGGCACTGCAGTGGCGTCAGTTGATGCCCTGAGCCACCTACGCCGGTACCGTTGCTGTGAAGGGCTGTGGAGGGGCGGGGCGGGGTGGGGAGGAACGAGGAGAGGCGTGGACAGAGTGGGTCCGGGGGCGGGAGCTGGGACGGAGAGGCAGCGCGGGATCGGGGCCGGGGCCGGACCGCGGGCCGGGGCGTGGGCGGCGCCGGCGTCGGACGGGGCATGTCCACCCGGAGCGGCGTTATGTCGCTGCATTATCGATGTGTGGGGTCGCGGACTTCTCCGACCCTGACATTCAAATGTCAGGTGCGAACGGCGCGGCGAGTGGGGGCTGGGGTGGGGGCGTCCTCGCCGTCCGTCATCCCGACGGGGACCAACGCCCAGTGGCTGTGGGGCGCTCAGCACCATTGTGGCGTTACAGAAGTCCTGGGCGCAGGTTACGCAATTGAAATAATGATTGTTATAATTCAGATGTATGAAAAGTTTAAATAGTAAAAGATGGATAGAAGATAAAACGAATAAATTACTGAAAAATTGGAAAAGAATAAAATGAAACAGGTATTAGATTTGGTTCTTTGGTTTTGCCGACATTTAGATGACCAAAACCAGCAGTAACAAGAGTTATTAGAAAAAACGTTGGAAAGATTCTACGGCATAGCTCTTTAAAGAAACATTTACCATCAAATATACGTTATTTTCTTTTGTAAAGTACTTTATATTTTTCTGTGTGATCATTCAGCAGTAAGTTGAATTTTTAATAATTAAATTCCTGCATCATGCAATATTATTTGCGTATTGGCGTGAAATTTCAATTAGATACTTCTAATGCTACATTTTTTGGGTGCGTACTTTTTGCCCCGTGTCCTCGCGTCGCTGTCTCTTCTCCTTCCCTGGCGTTCGCAGCCGCCGCCGTCGCGCGTTGTGGTCGGGTCTCCGCGTGTCATTAGGAGCGCAATGGAACCGCGTGTGTGTTCAAGGGTGGTTGTCCCGCGGAGCACAATTTCGCCCCACCGCGGGAACCTGGCTTTCACTGCGTTGGGCCGCTTCCGGGTCCCCCCCCCCCCGCCCCCACGACTGCGTCGATCTGCACTCGATGGCTTCCTCGCCGTAATCCGGGCGCTCTAATGGAGCGGCTGGGTCCTCACGACATGATTAATTTAGGGATGATTTGCGATTTAATGACGAATTTTACTCTGTCATTACGGTTCTCTGTAAAAAAGGAGGGTGGATTGCGGACGGGAATAAGGATTGTTTTACGATTGCGATCGTTTAATGGATGGAATGACCGCTTTATGAGATACCGTGGCTAAGGGAATGAGGCGCGGATATTCATGTCGGTATTTGTAGAGTGTTTTTATTAATGAATATATTCCGTGCTGAAAATAAACGAACACTATTTTTACTTGTGGACTTTTATCTTTCCATGTTTATATTGAATAAATATGTCATTTCTAAATTCAGAGTATATTGTGATGAATTTTTAGTAGTTAGATGGCATTAAATGAAATATGTGCTGTTTTAGGGACATCAAGCAATTACTTCAGATAAATTAATAATTCAAATTAATTACTCATGCTTCACCTTTTACATTACAAAAACACTCTCTCAGTTGCAGAGCTACTTCTGCATAAGGTGTAGCAAATTTTAAAGGTATTTTTTGAAATGTGTAAAAAAGTATTTCCTCATGTCTGTCGATTAATCATGATTTGATATATCTTATCACTAATATCAAATAAGCTATTTAGATTTATTGATAATTTCTCCATGGTTATAAAACATTGAAAACGTAACTGGGAGAATTATGCTAAAAACGTCGGACTATCGGAATAAACTACTGGATGGTAAGATATAACCGTATGATATTATGAGCCCCTTCTTATATTTCGTTTTGAACAAAAAATTATATTGTTCTAGAATTAATGTTCCATATTTATAAAAACGAGAATAACAAAGCTAACGTCTTCCGGTCCGGATGGCCGACATCGCTAAGGCAGTAGTGCCGTAGCGCAATCTCACCGAAGGATCGCGGGTTCGACTCCCGCCTCGGGCATGGTTGTATTATTTGTCCTTTCACACCCTAATCATCATCATATCGTGTCATTCTCGAACTTACCATACCGTTACACGCAATGTTGGTCGCTAATGACCTAGCAGTTAATAGGTCTAACTCTTCGTTGATAGTCAACAGAGTTTTGTGACTGCGTATAATGACTCAACTTAGAATATTAATGTACTATTTTGATGGTCTGCTACCAAATTATGTTCTCAGTTCATTCAAAGTTCCACCAATCTGTATATTAAGTACCCATATGATAGTATTGTGAGTTCCATCTGTTTTCGGGCTACATCTGCAGAACTAGTGTTTCGATTTCAATATATTTTTAAAGGTACGTAGAAAGGTAAAATAAAATGCTAGTGCCTGACAGCCTGTGGAAAACCAAATAATTCAAAACATTTTTATCAAGAAATTCTGAATTCCACACCTACGATTTTTGAAAGGGTTGTTACATTTGTATTCAATTCGCTGTTCTCAGTGAAGCGGTTGGATTGTGCACTTACTACTAAGGCTTTCCTACTTTTGTTTTTATCATAAAAATGTTCTATCATAATATATTAATATATTTTCGTATAAACAAAAACAAATATGAAAATTATTTCAGATAGATATGAGTCACATAATATCGTATCCATCTTCAATTCTGATATTTTAGTAAGAAAATGAGGCACAGTTACATCACTGTATTTCGTTTATGTTTTCCACAAACCTCTAAATTATTTCCCAGAACCTTCATTATTTATATCATTACATCTAGACATACGAGCTCGCGCCCTGCCCTGCGCGCGCCCCACCCGGCTGCCGTCCAGCCGCCCGCCCTCCGAAAGAGCATCATCCCCTACCACCCATCGCCCCCACACGCGTGCCAGAGCCGCACGCGTGCGTTGCGTGGCGGCGCGCTCGGATGTTTAGCGACGGCGGAGGGGTGGCCGCCGCCGTGTGTCACGTGTCTCTGTGCGTGTAAGAGCG